CCCCAAAACCCCAAAACCCCAAAACCCCAAAACCCCAAAACCCCAAAACCCCAAGTCTTTGGCTTATAATGGAAAAAATTATTTAATTTATAATATATTGCAAACATGGGGTGTTGTCACTGTACAGCCAAGAGTTCAGAGGCTGATGAGGTGGTACTAGAGGACAAGAATAGCTTTCGGAGATACGAGGTCAAAGAGTAAGGTTACTGTTAAAGGTATATAGCTTAACAACTGAGTACCATGAGCTTGAGAATAAGATTAGATGTCAAAGAATTGCAGTGGATAGTTATTCAAAACCTCAGAACAGTAGTTTCAAAGTAAGGTTCTCCCAAATCTCTAGTAGCATTGCTTCTCATAAATCCGAGCTAGAGAAGTCAGATCCTAAGAAGTTGAGGAATAAGAATACTTTTTAGTTCAGCTGAAAAATCAAATAAGATTAATGAAATATCCCATTATAAGCCTAATTTCTCTGCTATTAATCCCTATATCAATTGCAAGAAGCAATATGATCACCTCGAAAAGGAACTTGAGCACTCACTGAAACAAGCTCAGGAATTACTGGGGAAACCCGAAGAGCAAAAATCGATCCTTGTCGATGAATCAGGTAATGATCTTATACTAAAATAATCACTTCCACGAGTTCCTCATCTAAAATAATTCTCCCACTTCTACCTGACCTAATAAAGAGCTCTAAATATCTGTGGTCACGCTCACATTTTATTTTTGAGGAAATTTCACCAACCCTTATTTCAAAACCTGTAAAATCAATTTTCATGATAACAAAGATATAGCCAATAGAGAAGACAGAATCAGATATGAGGAGAATATCCACCAAGAGTCTGAAGATATAGACAGACAAGTGTTATCCTCGATCGAGTTCAAAACTCTTCTTAGAAATCAAATAAGACTATGAAACTTTGTTTTGAGGCTCTAGATTTTAATTTTGATAAACACTTTAAGGTGCTGAAAAGCTTGGACTCTCTGGTACTTCCCAATCTAAGAGAGTTGAAGATCGAAAATTTAAACCGGAGAAAACCTCCGGCTCTTAAACGTTTTCTGAAGAATTCGTTCCCAAGAAGAGTTGAGAACCTGTTTCTATCATTTTTTAGAGCAAACTCTATCAACATGGACAAGTACCTCAGAGAGATCCTACATGCTAGCTATAAGGTACAATCTATAATTGTCATTTGTTGAATAGATATTAGCCTAAGAGCATTGGTAAGGCTCTTCTCAGCATGCCGGAACAAGGAGCAAGTCATTTTTGTGGAATGCTATATTGATGTCGAAAAAGTACCAGACTTTGGGCATTCCCTGGATGGAAGTACAATTAGTTCGATATCATTCTTATCGTGAAAAATATATGGACAGCAAGGGATCCGTTTATCTGGCTTCTCCAATTTAGTTGAAGGATTCTCCAAATCTCAAGATTTTAAGAAATCCTTGAAGACAATTTTAGTCTCCCAATCTGTTCTAAGAAGACCTTATTGAAATATTCTGTCAGAATTTGGATTTGATAAGACCAGTGTTAGAGTTATTAAATATTAAGATGTCACATTCAATTGAAATATTTATCTTGGGGTTTTGGGGTTTTGGGGTTTTGGGGTTTTGGGGTTTTGGGG